ACTCACAGTGATCCTCCTGCCTCAGCCTCCCAGTGCAAGTGCTGGGGCTACAGGTGTGTGTTACCACCCCCGCCGTCCAGGTTGTACTTTTGCCGTGCTTTTTCCTCTTTCACTGGGCCCAAGCTCCCTCTGCAGAGCCAGTTTCTCCCTCTCTCTTCACTTTTACTTTATCTAATAAACTTGGCCATTGCCTTTTGCTCGTTGTGTTCAATTCTTTGTTCTAGATGAGAAGAACCTAGAATCTAACCCCAGAGGAGGGGCCGGGGATATAGTGCAGCGGCACAAGTGCCTTCCCATAAAGGGCAAAGTCCTGAGTTCAATTCCCAGTACCAAAAAAAAAAAACTCCAGAGGGAGAGGTAAGGGAGACGCTTTAATAACATTCTCGCCCGCAGGGGGCACTTACCTGCTTTTAGCTGGGCCACACTTGCCCTGCAGAGCATGTTTCTTTTCCTACCATTAATAAATGCAAAACCTCACTGCCTTTTGCTTTTGTCCTGACTAATTCTTTATTCACGACAGAAAGAACCTAGAAAACACCTCTAGAAGGAGTCTCCACAATCCTAGGACCTGGTAACAAAACTGTTGTGGAGAGGGGCTGGGGATTTAGCTCAGCGGTACAGCGCCTGCCTGGCAAGCGCAATGTCATGAGTTCAATTCCTGATACCGGGGAGAGAAAAAAAAAAAAACTGTTGTGGACAATCCGGATTCTGCCTTGTTTTTAAATTAAGTGGTTTATTAGAGCCTATTTATTTATTTATTTTTAGAGCCCTTTTTAAATATCATACATGGCCGGACATGGTGGCACATACCTGTAATCCCAGCACTCAGGAGGCTGAGGCAAGAGGATCGTTATGAGTTCAAGACCAGCCTAGGCTACAAAGTGAGCTCAAGGCCAGCCTGAACTGCAAGACCCTGTCTCAAAAAGACAAAAAAAAAATCATGCACAAAGCAACTTTTTTTTTGTGGTACCAGGGATCAAACTCAGGACCTTGCACTTGCCAGGCAGGCACTTATGCCACTAAGCTATATCACTGGCCCAAAAGCAAGTTTCTTTTTTTAAAGAAACTCTTCAACCTCTCAGTGAGAAATTCAGTATACATCTTTTTGTTTAAATACCCTGACTTGTATGTGAGCAGTACCCCGCAGGACCCAAGCAATCTTACATAGTGTTGAACTCGATCCGTCATAGACAACTGGTTAGTTATCACTGGGTCTGTGGACAAAATCAGTTAGGGATCTCCTGTGAGAGTCATAGTTTAAAATGTTACATGAGGGTCCACGGGGCGAGTCTCTATAATCGCATCTACTCAGGAGGCTGAGACAGGAGGATAGTAAGTTCGAGGCCATCCGGGGCAGTTCAGTAAGACCCTCCTCCCTTCTCAAAGACAAAAAAAAGTAAATGCATAAATATGTTTTTTATTTTTTTAAATGTCAACAACTGTTTCTTAGAACCAGCATTCACGGTCTCAGGTTAGGAGCTGACAGTTCGAACAACAGCTGCAGATGACAAACTGGGGTGTTTGGGGGAAGCTTTTGCTGGAAGGGACGGGGAGGGTGAGCTCCGAGGTGGGGAGTCTGGGTCAGGCGCTGGAGGAGCAGGAAGGTGGGGAGCAGGGAGGATGGAAGAAAGGGAGGGCTTTGCCGCTGAGGGCCTGGTCACGGGGCGGGGGCCCCCCACACACCCCCAGGTGGCCTCGGCAGGTCCCGCCTGGGTCCCAAGGCGCAGCGCAGCTGGCGGCCGTGGCCAGGCCCCACTTCCCCTTGGGCGGTCTTCGGAGGAGTGGTCTCTGCAGCGCCAGGGCGTGCTGACGCCCCAGGGACCGCTCCGGAGCCGGGCCGCCGCCCCCGCCTTCCCGTCCCGGCCGGAGCCTGCGTGCGGCCGCACGGCGCCCGGGACACCGACTGCGCTGGTCTCTCTGCCCGCTCCCCAGCACCTCGGATTCTCCGCATTCCAGGGAGGGAGTGAGCTGCCCCAGCTGCCTGGGAGGAGGGAGCCGCATTCCTCGCAAGCCTTGAGGGAGAAGGGGAAGGAGACGGGGAGGGAGCCCGCCTGCGTCCTGCCCGGGCGCCCGCCCAGCTTCCCGGCCGGGCCAGAGGCTCTCTGCACCGCAGCGGCTCGGGACTTTCTCCTCCTCCCTGGCCTCTTGCCCTCGCTGTGTTGCCTTTGCCGGCTCCACCGCCTCCCTCCGCCTTCTTCCCACCTTGTCCCCTCTTTGCTCTTTGCTCTTGCATCCACTTTTGGCTTTATAGGTTTTGCTAAGATTGTGCTCAGGCTGGGAGGGGTGGTGAGGGAAGAGAGAAGAGTAAAGGTTTTGACCTTTTTT